GCGTCAAAGGACCCTTATCCTATTCTTAGAGAGGTGGGCGTGGCGCCGATATTAAGAGTGCTGGGATGAGTGTACTGGCTTCAAAGGTTCTAACAATGTTGTGAGGTCAGGGAGCAGAACGCTGAGCAGAGCACACCAGGTGATTGCTGTTTGGAGTTAACAAAAAAGCTTATATGCATGTGGAAGTGATTCTGTAGCCAGGAGTTAATGATTTGATATCATACTTTCCATCTCCCCACCGGAGATAGATGTTGTGAACTCCCATCACAGTACAGATTTGGGTTTTCTATTTTCTTTCCATTTTAATTGAAATGAATCTTTCATATAGTGTGTTGAAGAAATCATGAATATGTCCAACCCAATGAATATTTCAATATATAAACATGCAACAAGCTTGCTCCCCCCCAACATGGCAGAATAGAGATGCAGAAGAGGGTGCACAAGCTCCCCTCAGCCTACCAAACAAGCTGTAAAACTAGAAGGACAATTTGGAGATTCACCAAAAGAGTCAGGATTTTTCCGAAGGTCTGGCATGGAGGTGGGTGACTTATGGGGATGGTGAGTTAACGGGGTCACTGACAGGGCAGAGCAGGCGGGGGACGGGCTTGTTTGGAAAAGCAGTACTGGCGCTCAGAGCGAGTATTGGGGTATGAGTGGGGGTTCTACACCCCAGAGCTGGACAGAGAGGAGATCTGGGGCTTCGACCCCTTCCCCTGGAAAAAACAGACAAAGGGAAAGTATAGTTCAGCGCCTGCTGAGACACTGCAGCCGGCAGCTGGCTGTGAGCATCATGCCCACTGCTGCACCGCAGAAGCAGGCTGTGATCTGTGACCGGGCAGCCCGTGGGGGCCACTGTGCAGCCAAGGTGGCCTAGTGCAAGCGCACAGTTGATTCCACAGACTGGTAAAGGAGAGTCCTGAAGCCCAGGCTGGGCTGGCACAGGCCTAGAATGTTGGAGCAGGGACGCAGACACAGGCGCACCAGGGGGAGGCAGGGTGGAGGGAGCCGGCACAGGCCAGGCAGGGCCCGGGGCCTCTTGGGGGCTGGCCCCAACCAAGTGCCCTACCCCCCAGCAAATTTGCAGTTTCTTTCTCTGGCCTTGCTCTCTGGCCTGTCATTTTGCCATCCTCACCTCAGAGTGGCCTTCCTGTAGCCATAGTTCTGTAGGAGCCTTCTACCCCTGGACTCTCAGCGCAGACTCCTGCACTTACACATATGCACCCCAGTTCTCCCTGGGGCGGGTGCCCACAGTCAGAGGAACCCGTGCCCCACACCCGAGCTCCTTGGCTCCAGGCCAGATGGGAGCAGAATGAAGACCAGGCTCACCGGTCCCACGTACAGCTGGATTAAGCAGAGCAAAACCCACGAACCCCACTGTAAAATAAAGGGGTAAACCAAAGTCACCTCTATTTAAAAACAAATCCACTTTTACATACATGCAGTTTATTTTCTGGTGTGGGGAATGTTGTGTGTGTGGGGAGCGTTCTCATTCTTAAATGCGTAAGAATTAAACCATAGAAATTCGGGAAAGCATTTCCTGCACTAGATGGTGCTTTCTAGAATTAACGTTACAAATCTGATTGAAGTGTTAAAAGAGTGCTAAATAGTAATGTTTACCAAATGGCATAAACATGAAACCATTTTGAAAATCTTTTCCTTTTGAAAAATATCAGGCTGGGTAATTGTAATGATGGTCAATTAAGTTAATGAATAAAGCATTCAAAGTAACAGAGTTAAAAATTAAATTATCACCTTAAATGAAGTATTATCCAAACCAGACTAGGTCTCCTTGGTACCAGTACGGGTGTCTGGGACGATGTCATTACCCTCTGCAGCACGAAGGCACTAACTTGGGCATCTGCCCCTCTTTTGTCCACTGCAGATTTGCAATCACAATACCCTTTTATGGCATCATGGTCAATCTGCAGCACTTCGGGAGCAATATTTTCCTGTTACAGGTCATCTTTGGAGCTCTAACGGTCCTGGCCCGCTGTCTTACACTCTGGGCACTGAGTCAGATAGGCCGTCGATTAACCCAGACGTTTACTACATTACTGCTGGGACTTTCCATCTTGGCCAACACATTCGTGCCTCCAGGTGAGAGGAGACAGGACATTGGGAAAAGGCAATGGCCTTTCCATCCTTTGGGGAGTGTACTGACTCAAGTTCCCCAAACAATACAGATGGTTTAGGACAAAATCTGCTGATAAATTCTTGGGTCAGCACTAGGCAGCTCACCACATCCTGAAAATATCTGGAAACCAGTGCTTTTATTACAGACAGTTACTTAGAACAGCAAGTAGCTGCCCTATGGCATTCATGTGCTAAATAGTTAGAATAGACGGCCTCCCTGGTGCCACAAGGCAAGCTGCAGCACTATGAAGCTATCAGCAGCCACTGCAGTAGGAGATGGATCCCCGGCCAGGGGCTGGCCCACACAGTGCAGCAGACCTCTCCTGTCTCCCTGCTGCTCCCCTCAGCAGTGTATCTCAGTCTGTCTGCCTGTTCTGCTCCCTATTCTATCTCTGCTGAGGCCTCTCACCCATCCATCTCTGGCCAGTACCCAGAACTTATATGCATAAATGAATAATATAAATCGTTTTTAAAAAATAGTCAGGACAGAGGGGCCCAGCCTCACCCTGCTGCCCCACAGAAGGACGCAGGGTGTTGTCCCCCACCCGGGGCTTCACCTCCAGCTGAGACCATGGTCTGCCTCCCACCTGCAGGCATCCACCTGTAAGTGCTGCAGCCATCACTGGTGGGAGTCTCCTTGACTCACAGGAAATGAAACAAAACAAACTCTCTTCAAGCAGCCCAAGGCACACAGTCAGCAGAGAAATCCCAGTCTGTCTGTGTAGCATCACTCTGTAAGTCACTGAGGCGCCATGCCAGGGGCTGGCATGCTGCAGAGCAGGGTCTGAGCAGCAGAACACCACCAGTGTGCAGGTTTGCTCCCTTCCCAGAGTCTCCAAATGCTCTAAGGCTCTAATTAGATTCCTTTGTTTTGTACTGGGCAGAAAATGATTCTTTGAAATGACTGCATGATGACTCCCAAGTTCTGGATTTTCCCAGATAGAAGTTTCCGTTCTTGGTTCCTAAGACCCAACTGCGCTAGCTCTAGCTTCTCCTCAGCCAGCCCAGCAGAGGTGGCCCTGTCCCTGCAGTTCACTCCCAGCCCAGACCCATCCCCGACAAGGCTGTGTCTACGCCGGGCTGACGCCTTGCCTGGGTTTACCTGGGGCTTTCCTGAGTAAGCCGAAAAACCCCACTCCGCTAAATCCCCAATTCCCAGGAGCACCAGGACGCCAGTCATTTGAAATTCTACGTTCATTGTGAAGTCCACAAGTTTAGGGCTGCCCTTAGACTCGGCATCTGCCCACACGTGGTCCTGCAGGAGGGATGGAATGCGTGCGAGAGAGGATAAGCAGGAGCAGGCTGAGGATCGGCTTCCTTCTCCTCCCCGGCAAACCTCAGCTGTGCAGTCAGACTCTTGCGCTTTAGTCCAGGAACGGTGATGGGCTCAGGCCACCTCTGCGTAGCTCTGCACTTCTCAGCCTACCGACACTATCCTCTCCGCTGCTGTCCAGTTTTCACTGGTATATTTCAAACACAGACATAATGAATAGGGTATTTTCCCCAGTCATTTTAGGAGGTGCTGACTCCAGCTCAGATTTCATTGTCTCCCTGGTCTTTATGTCTCCAGAAATGCAGACCCTGCGGGTGACTCTGGCTTGTGTGGGAACAAGTTTAAGTTCTGCTGCTTCTTCCAGCTTTTCCATTCACTTGGTTGAACTCATCCCCACCATCCTCAGGTATGAGAGCTCGTGGGTGCTGCCAGGGGCCAGTGCAGGACTCCCCAGTGAGGTGACGCTGGGTTGTGGGATAAAGGCAATAAAACCTGTTATTGTAAAAGCAATCACCTGTGTAGTAATATTATACGAAGATTAATCACAGCCTGTTTATTGACAACCTACTTTCAACAAGCCTCAACGCACCATCTCCAGAGTCTCCGATCCGATGTAGGGTCCGGAGATGTGCACACTCTGTTTAAAGGGATGGTAAAGCTCTTGGTACACTTTGAAGCAATCATTGGTTAAATTTCAAAACAAACGTCATCAATGCGGTGTGCTTAACAAGTGTTTTCTATTGTCTTTAATCATCAAGAAGAAGAAAAAATAAACAACAACACAGGTCCGCGCGCTTGTGTAGGATTTGAGGGACTGTGGTTTATCTTCCAGGGCAAGAGCTGCGGCCATGGATGCCATGGCTGCAAGGTGTGGGGCGACCCTGGCGCCCCTGCTCATGCTGCTGGTTGTGTGTCACCCCACTCTGCCCTGGATCATCTATGGCGTCTTCCCCATCCCAGCCGGTCTCCTTGTCCTCCTCCTGCCTGAAACCAAGAACCGGCCTTTGCCTGACACCATCCAGGACGTGGAAAATCAGTGAGTGAAGCTTCTATCTCCCCAGGAGGAGCCGTGCTCAGGCCCGGGGCACAGAAGCCTTCGGGTCTCGATGGGTCCTCTCCGTCCCCCCAAGTCCCATCGGGTGCAAGGGCCCCTGCTGCCCCGCACTCACGGTAGCTTCGTGGGAGGAGATGAGCCCTAGTCCATGCCAAGGCAGTGTTGCCTCCCCCGGGAGCCACACGTCTCTCACAGTGTCTCCTGGTGTCAGATCTAAGAGCTGGAGTGCGAGGAGAAAGAAACGTGGTAGTGAAGGAGTAATGTGAGGAAGACCCAAGCCTGAAAGGCTGTTTGAAAAGTAATAAAGCAAATACATCGTGTTTAGGCACCTGTAAGATTCAGACAGGGTTGCTTCCAACAGTGGTGAACGTAAAGTGATATTTTTCTCACTAAGCATGATCTTTTCCAGCTCCATCCAAGTTGCTAAAGTGATATTTTTAACAAGAAAAATTAGTATCAGGCCTCTGTAATAACATGCCACACACTGACTGACTTAAAGAAGTTTATTGTCTCCAATTCTGGGGTAAAAATCTGAACTCGAAGTCCCTCTGAAGGTGCTGAGAAGGATGTCTGAGAAGGATGTGTTCCTGTAGTTGTATCTTCTTTGGTTCCGCTGGCTTGGGGCTGAATAACCCCAATATTCCTTTCCTGGACATGTTAAATTTCCATGTTATAAGGGCTCCAGTGAAATGGGATCAGAGGCCCACTGTACCCAAGTTGACCCTCATCTTAACTAGTTAAATCTACAACAATCTTATTTCTGAAAAGGGAGCTCACATTCACAACAGTATCTCGCATTCTGAGATATAGGAGTGAAGACTTCAACCTATGAATCTGGAGGAACACAATTCAACCCATGATAAGGGGGGAGAGGGGACATTTACCTTAAGATTTTTAACAAGCCTCATAACTTTCCAAAGTTGTAGCTGGCCAGAGTTCTAAAGGGACCAAGTGAGAGTTGCTGCATTCAAATCTGCCTTTTGGTTCTGCACTGGCAGCAGGGACTGTCCAACCCCTGACCTAACCCTCCTGAGCCTTCCTGGATTATAAGAAGCTGATGGTCACCAGCTTGTACTTACTCCTAGTCCCTTTTTTTTCTGTGGTGGTTTTGTTGATGGTTTGTTTCTGTTTGATTTTCCAGCAAAAAAATCTCAAGCAAAGGAAGTATGAGTGATTCCTACATGAAAGTGACAAAATTTTAAGGAATTTTCATGAATGGACTGGTGAGGAGAAGAAATATATGAGAGAAGAACACTTTTATATCTATAAACCATCAAGAAAATATGCAGGACAGATAAATTTCCTTTACAACAATGGCAGTCATTTGCAATTAAAAATTAAATGAAAAAAGTAATTTGCAGAGATATGTAATTTCATCAACAATTCTTTGGGAAAGCAGTTATAAAGGTTTCAAGTTTATCAATTAATTATTAATAGACAGATGATTCAAAAATAAAGAAAACCATGACATTAGGATGTAACTGGCAGATGCATGAAGCAGTAATTGGCAGGCTCTACATAAACCTATAAAATTTAGCACATGTTGCCCATCAAGTCAGTGTTCTTGTGTCCTTTTGGTAGGGACCTAGGTATGGGGTTCCTGGGTCATATGGTAGCTACCTTTTCAGTGTTCCAAGGAAACTCCACACAGCTTTCCATAGTAGCTGGAGAACTTGGTCAATTTTAAGTGACATGATATTCTTTGTCTAGAATATAGACTTTGAAGAATATGCCTCCCAAATAGCTCTGGAATCCTGCAGAGCTGGGAGAACTGAGACTCCAAGTTAAAATAAAATTGTAGAGGGCTGGTGCTGCGGCGGGTTAAAGCTCAGCACTAAGAGACTAAAGCCACTTTCGCACGAGTTTGATGCCCGTCCCAGAGGTGACCCACACGGCGTGGCAGACCTCTCCTGACCTGCCCGCTGCTCCCCTCAAAACGAAACTGGAAAACAACTCAGTTTTCTAATTGAGTAAATCAGCATATGTCTACCCAGTTTATTTCCATTTGCCAATAGAAAGGGTGAACAGAAGAGTAGCTAAGGGACTGGGGAAGCAGCATGCACGAAGCAGGGAAAGCAGGAAATAAAATGTGTAACACACTATTCTTATATTCGTATGGGGGCAAAATAACCTCAAAATATTAGCATTAGGATCTGTGTGTTGCACTTGCTAAAAGCCTTAAGGAAGCAAATCTTGATATTTCCAAAACTTTCTGTGAAGAATGTTCAATTCCATAGTGAAAGAAAATAAAAACACTATAGTGGGGAAACAAGATTATTTGTATATGTTTGTAAACTTACTGGGTAAGGAAGTAGTTTTCCACAGGGCTTAGGGCCTATGGACCTTAAAGGCACCCTGCACACATACCACCACCACCCCATCAGCACCCCTTCCCATCTCTGTGAAGATGAAACTGGAAGTCCTGCCCGCCTTTCACTGTCCAGCAAGATCTGGCCAAGGGGCCATGGGGTCATTCTATGCCTCCTCACACAGTATGTGGGGTTCCACCAACCTTGATCTCTCTGGCCTCAAACACTCAACGATTCCCGTTTGTATCAAATTCCCACATCGTGCCAGGGCGCCCTCTGGGAACCAACTCAAAAGCCAGGACCACCCAAAGCTGTCCAGAACCACCTCCCCCCAAAAACTCCTGAGTAGACTGGTGTCTCCTTACACAAAACCCTTCACTACAAGACTAGAAGCTCATGGACTTGAGGACAGGTAGAGAAGATACTGAGCAAAGTGCCAGGTAACTGCTTCTGTGTCACATCAACCTGCTGGTCACCTAATAATTGTGCACTTAGGTACATTGTTCAAAGTAACTTTTTCCCACTTTGGTTTTTTGACTCAATTTCTTGAAAGTAGGTTTTTACTTTTCTACTAACAATCTTCAAAGCAAATAGATGTCCTCAAACAAACAAAAAAAAAACCTTCCTAGGGCCCTCCCTGGTGGCACAGCGGGTTAAAGCACAATACTAGAAGATAGAGACACTTCAGCATAAGTTTGATCCCCACCTGCCCCGGAGGTGACCCCCATGGCGTGGCAGACCTCTCCTGGCTCACCTGCTGCTCCCCTCAGCAGTGCACTTCATCAGTCGGCCTGTTCTGCTCCCCACTCTGTCTCTGGTGAAGCCTCTCACTGCCCCTGTACCTCTGACCTGTACCCCAGCTCTGTATGCATAATTAAATAACTCTTTAAAAAACACCCTCCTAGCTTCCACCACTGCCCAGTTCCAAATCCACTCCCCAGTTTTTAGCTATCTGTTACCATTGTACTCCATTGCCACAGCTCCAACACTGGAATTAGTTATTGCGGTTATGGAAAAAATTATCTCAAAATTCAGTGGCTTAAAACAGGATTGTTTTAAGTAGGAATTGGCGGGGGCCTCTGTCACCGATTGCAATCTAGGAGTTTGCTGGAACTCTGATGTCATCTGGTCTCCACTGGGGAACTCAGTCCTCTCAGCATGGTGGTCTAAGGACCTTGGTTCCAGAGAGGAAATGTCAAGTCCATCTCATCCACCAGCACTGTCATCTGTGCACTGCCCCGGTTGGTGCTTGAGTGACATCTCATAAAGCCTTGCTGTCATTTCTGCTGCTGAAGTTTGTGAAGACCACCACACAGAAGGCAAATATTTGCTGTGATTCAGGTGAAGCCATTTTCAATTTGGCCCGTGTACCCAAACTGCATGTAAGAGTGTGTTGCTTCATTTTTCTCAGGTAAGCTCCATGTGGCGATGATTAACTTTAAAATATTGGAGAAGTAATTTTATTTCTTCTTTCAAAAACTCAGCAGCAGTATTGTGAGGGAGAAAAAGGCATGAACGCTTATGTTGTTGAGCACCACATCTTAAGAGCATAATCTTTTAAGACTCAAAGGGATCAATTAGAGAGATAACAGAAAGAAATAGCACATTCCAGCAGAAGTTCATCTCTGGAGATAATGATGCCAGAATGTTTTATCATGAAATGTTCTTTGACTTTGACTAGACCACAACTTATTTATCCATTCTGCTATTCCTGGATTTTGGACTTTGCCCATATTTGTGCTATTGTGAATTTGTGAGAGTAAAGCAAGTGTCTATTTGACTATCGCTAACAACAAACAATATTCCAAATTGGATATACAATTATACATTTCAACAAGAAGTTCTGATTGCTCCATACCCTTGCCAATTCTCAGTAGTCTAAATTATCTGAATGTAGCTATTCCAGGGGCAGTATACAGCTTCACATTGTGAGTTTAATTTGCATTTCCTGATTACCTATGACACAGAGCACTCTTGCCTGATTTTGCCTATTTTTATTGTCACTTTTTCCACTTATCTTTTTGCCTGTTTTTATTGTCAATTTTTCATTTATCTTTTTTAGATATATGTCTAAATACATTCCCAATCTGTGCATAACTGAATTAATTTTCATGAAATTCTATTTATAAATCTTTTCTTTTACAACAAATGCTTCTGGTATCTTACTGGGAAAAAAATGTACTAACGCAAGCTTATAAATCGATTTTCCATGTTTTCTTCTCAAAACTGTTTTCATCTTCAGGATGGGAGCATTTTAAGATGGTGAAGTAGAAAGATTCTGGACTCAACCTCATACCCACTGACACAATAAACCTGCAACTATTCATAGAACAACTTCCATTGAAACAGAACCGAAGATTAGAGGATTGATATCTCCACCATATAGAGTAAAAGATAGTATCAGAAACGGCAGGAAGGCAGAGACATAACCTCACAGGAATGCCACTCCTGGCTCATGACTCATGGCTTTGTGAAATATCAAAAACACAGAGCCTCAGGTCTCCCTAGTGGTGCAGGGGTTAAAGTATCAGTGCTATCAAGCTATCACCAGCCACTGTGGCATAAGTTCAATCCCCGGCCGGGGAGCTGACCTACCTGGGCACAGCAGACCTCTCCTATCTCACCTGCTGTTCCCCCCAGTAGTATATTTCCATAGATCCGCCCCTCTGCGCCCCAT